CGCGTTTGTCGAGGTTTGTCGAGGTAGTAGTCGGCGACTAAGCGGCACCGGCGTCATTACCCGTGCCGCGTCGCGACTCGCATTACAGTTACGTGATTATCCCGCCGCGCGGTCGCGCCTCCGACGCAGACGCCGACGCCGACGCCGACGCCGACACCGACACCGACACCGACGCCTACGTCGATCGTCGACCGTCGGCGGTTTAAAGTCGAGGCCGCGGCCGCGGATCCGGGCGCAGACAGCGTTAAAGTGTTAATTACTAATTAAGAAGGGTGCAAGCGGTGCAGCGTCAAGACCCTGCGCGCGACACCTTTTTGAACGCGCCCTCTGAATGGACGCTCACGCCCCAGCGGGCAAACGCGCGGTAGTCGCTCGCTCGCTCATCCATCCGCGCCGCGCTCATCGACGCACGAGCGGGAAGACGCGAGCACGCATCTACCACGCGCGGCCACCCGCGCACGGACGCGCTCGCGCGCGAATTCTAACGCGCGGACGCTTAATGCTCTCTCGTTACACGCACTTTCACGGCTCGTGCTCTCGCCTCGTGTCTCGCGTCGCGGCGTAAAGTAGAGCGTGCCGGTAGACGATGATGACGACGACGGGGACGGGGACGGGGACGGGGACGACGGGGACGGAGCTCGTCTCGAATTCTTTGCCGGCTGCTTCCGCACCCTTCCTCGACACCGGTGATACTCGCTATCGACCTTGCGCCGACAATGTCGCTTATGGCTGATAAAGTCAGACAAAAGTTCTTCCTCTCTCGAGCTCTATCGCATTTCTTTCGACTGTCTCTTTTCTTTCTTTCTTTTTTTTCTTCTTCTTTTATTTCGTATGCTGCGCGATGTATATTGAGATTGTCTAATGTAACCTGGTATCGCCGTTGTTTGTCTCGATATTGAACTCTTCATCGCGATATGATCATCCGTCGAGTCTAATTGCAATCGCCGGTGGGAGAGGGAACCTTAAGGATCGTCATGCTGAGAATCTTGACAACTTCTCGTTTATGTCAGATTGAAGAGTTTGCCGGTTTTTGACAACGTCTTCACCCTTACGAATCGTCGTCAATAGAAAACAGATCCATGAGTCTCCGGCCGATCGTCGCAAGAGGGTCGCCGTGGGAAAGTTTCGGCAAGAAAACCGTGATGCTTAAGGGACTCAAACGTTCAGGGTCAACTGGCGTCTTCGAGGGTGCCGGTGTTCCCTATTGTCGGGGGTCGGCCGACTTGGCATAACCGTTAAAAGGGGCTTGGCTGGCTGGTTCGGTGGCTTAAGAAGCACGTTCCTTCAATGGAGAGATCGGAAAGGGGCAGAAGGGTAAGGCGAGAAGACGCGCGCCGCGCGTCATCTACCTTTGCGAACTTGCGGAAGGTGTCCGCGACTTCTGGCCGCGCCTCTGCCCGCCCAGTTGCTCCACACACATACACACAAGTCATAATGCAAATCTCATTTCTTCCTTCTCGAGAGATACGCCCTCGGTTTGTCGGCGGTCCTCTCCTCTCCTGTCGCTTCCACGACATTTAGATGGCAGGTTTACAAAGATCGAAATTTGCGCTGTCGCTTGCACGTATCTGTCGGTTTTCATTACAAGACTGTAGAACTGTGGGTAACTACAGAGTGCGTGACACGGATATAAAAAAATATCTCCGAGTGTCGGGAAGTTTCACTTTTTAACCGGCGCTCTCTCGCGTGTACGGCGCGCGTCGTGTCGCAAAAGCGGCATGTTGAAAAAGCGATTGACAACGAAGATCGCGGTTGAAGGAGGCATCGCGTCGACACACGCTCTGTTACTATTAACTGCATCAATACGCGACACCTCAAGCCCGTTTAGCCTGTCTCTCTCTCTCTCTCTCTCTCTCTCTCTCTCTCTTTCTTTGACGTTTTTGAGATGAAAAATATCGCTGTCAATACGACAAAAAAATGCGACTGAATCGCAAATGCGTGCACGACGAATCCGATATCTTAATATCTTCAACGAAATCTTTTTCCGCTCTCTGTATCCGTTTGAGCTTCGAAGAGCAGGACACAAATATTTTGCGATTGTCAGTGCGCTCTCCAGTCTATGAACTTGAAATTTCAATTACTTCGACCACGCGGGTATAAGAGGGACCATAAGAGTACGTTCGCTTTGAAGAATCTCGACGTCGCAGAGCCAATCTCCATACGCTTCTCATTCTTTTTCGTTGACGAAGCTCGTCGTAATTAGATGCTAATAATTAGCACCCTTGCGAGGAGATTTGCGCCTTCTTTTTCTCATTTTATCCACCTTTCGTTCCCTTCTTCCCTTCCTCACATACGCACGTATACACTCTGTATCTCTCTCTCTCTCTCTCTCTCTCTCTCTCTCTCTTTTCTCCCTCTTTTTCTCTGTCTCGCTCTCTCATTGTCGTCCCGCTACACAACAAGGCGCAAGAAAACCCGAGATCCTGAGAAGAGCATATTATTATCCTAATTATACAATACTATAATGAATGATCCCGCGACTCGCCCTTTAGCACCCGCTCTTGCTCGCTCGCTCGCGCACCCGTCACTCATATCGTTTCTCTCTTTCCCTCCTTCTCTCTCTCTCTCTCTCTTTCTCTCTCTCTCTCTCTCTCTCTCTCTCTCTCTCTCTCTCTCTCGGCGGTTTCTCTTGCTCTTATCCTCTGCACTTGGTGGTCGAAGAGTGGCAATTCTAGCACTCGGGCTTTTTGTCAAACTGACTACGGAACTAGCGCCGTCTCCCTCGCTCCCTCGCACCCCATTATGCGGCCAGTCCCGTCTCTCGTTCCGCTTTCTCTCTGTCTCCGGGTGTCTGTTTTAATTAGGCACTTCGTAGATACGCGCATACGTGTGTGTGCATATGTATGTGTGCGTGTGCGTGTATGTGCCCGCGCGCGCGTCAGGATATACGGCGTTAACGTAAGTACGTAAGCGACGCAGTCTACCACTACCTCCACCACATTCCGCCTATACTCGGCGATCCGACGAGCTTGAATGCGGTCGATGGGTGGTTGAGTAAGGATTATAGGCGCAGGTAACACATGCATAGGACGAAGTCGGGGGCGGCTCGCCGATGGGTGGTGTGACGGTGACGGCTCGAGGAGATGAAGAGGGACGGGTATTCGAAGGGATGATAGAGGAACTCCTCTTTCGATTCTTCCCGCGTGCGTCACTTTCTCCGACTGACTGCTGATAAGAGCATGCGAAATTATCTTAATTGGCAGTAAAGCCAATTCGGAGCGATCGAACGAGGAGAGACAGACAGAGAGGCAAAGAGAGAGAGAGAGAGAGAGAGAGAGAGAGAACCTCCTCCCGCTCTTCCCTCGACCGTCTCCGCTTCGTTCGCCGGCACTCCTTTCTTTCAGCGGCTTTGAATGGGCCGAACGTTGCGGAAGATCGCGTTGTTTTCTTTCGGTGAGAGAGAAGCGAGCGAGATCCCTGACCCTTCACAATCCCCGAGCGTAATAGGTGAAATACGACGTCCGCCTCGGCGCACACGAGCTACGAAAGTGGATCGGTTAGGATCTCGTGAACGAGAGTGTAGCAGGATCCGTTTGCCGAACGGATTGGCATCGTTGAAAAATCTCCCGCTAACTTAGGTCGCTATGGTAAACGTCCTAGTCTATTCTCTCCTCTCTCTCTCTCTCTCTCTCTCTCTCTCTCTCTCTCTCTCTCCCTCTCTCTCTCTCTCTCTTCTTTCTCTCCTTCCCTCTCCCTCCCTCCCCCTCTCTCTCTCTCTCTCTCGCAAACGAGCCTCCGATCTACCAGGTGGAAGCAATCTTAAAAATTGCTCCCAACGGCACTAAACGAGACTCGTAGGCGGTTGCTTTGCATTGTCGAGTATTCAGCGACGATGAGTTGTACGCTCTCTCGTCAAGCCGTCCTCCTTTGCATCCCCGAGGGATCCCAAGTGCAAGATCGACCACTGCGCTACCACCGGCTCGACGAAGACACTCGGCCGATGCTAATATGAGCCCTAAAATCGGCCTCGACGACCTGGGAGGCGTAAGGTCGACGAGACGACAAGGGAAAAAAGGACGAGGGAGATAACGTTGACGCAAATTGCATCTTCGAGACCTCGTGGCTCGAAGCACTCTTCGCTTTTCGCATTTCGCGTAACGAATAAGGCGGCACTAAGAAAGAGACTCCACGTAAAAGAGGGATACGATGTAGTCGTAAATTCCGCGATGAGACGCGACCGCGAGAGCGCTTGTCAATGGCATAAATGTGATATAACGGAGCTAAGAGTAACCACGAAGAGCCGAGTTGAATCTTTATATTAACAATTAACGCACCGTTCGTGCGTTCACGTTTTCCATCTTTCCGTCCACTTTCCTCCAGCTGCGGGCTTCAGTTCAGACGCGAGAAGAACTAACGAAGGCTTGGGCCACTATCCGTCATTAATTATCCACCGGTTAACGAGTCGTGTTTGCTTTTTCGCATTAATTGACGCACGTAGAGAGAGATATCTCGGGGAAACGACCGCGACATTTCGCTGCCGCAGGTCATTACGAGCGAGCGGGGGATGCAAGTCGCGTGATTTCGCATTCGATTGTACGTATAGCGGCTGGGATCGCGAGGGGATATCGGGCTCTTCGTGGCCAACGTCGACGGGTTTTTCATCATCTCGTTGCGTCTGTCCGCTCGACGACGGGGAGAGCTCGCACACAGAGCGCCCTCCACGTGCGTCGTCCCCTCTCTTCCTTCTTTTTTTCGCATCTTCTTCCGCTTACGTCAGTAACCATTGTTGGCATCGATCTTTAATTAATTATCGATGACGCATTGGCGCTGTCGCTGTCTGTCGCGGGGAAACCAGGCGAAACAAGAATCGGCCGTGATGACGTAGAAAGATTTTATTATTAATTGACATCTTCTGATATATGTATTATATACACGCGCTCACGTTTATTAATCATACTCGGTTGTAATGAAATTATATATTAGTTTTACGCCATTCTGCGAATTAGTTCGCGGAGTTCTAAGAGTGTAATCTAATCATGTGCCCTTTTCTGTCGTTTCAGAGAATTCTACTACATCCAAATGGAGAAATACGCGAGACAAGCGGTTTCGGAGGGCGTGAAGAACGCCGAAGACCTCCGAGTTGGGGGCGACTCGGAAATCTACCGGGTTCTCAACCTTCACTACAACCGTAATAACCACATTGAGGTATGGGGTCCCCAGGTGCGCAACACGAACACGCACACGCTACATTTTCTTTTATTTCCCACTCGTTATTGTTTCGCGAATTGAGGAAAGAAAAAAAAAGAGAGAGAAAAGAGACTGAAAGAATAAGAGAGAGAGAGAGAGACGAGCATGTGTTTCCTCGTAATAGAGATCCTCCGATGAGAGTCGTCAAGATCGATTGGTTCCGCGAGATTAAGCTTTCGATGTTTGTACCATTTACCGTACGTGTTTTCGTTTATCTTTCACGTGGGTCTTTGTGGTTTACTGTGATTTACAAGTGTGTTTGCACGTTTCGTATGATAAAAAGCATAGACGTATAAGGCATTTGATACTTGTGCTGAGAAGTTGAGGCATTTTTACTTATGACGCTGTCGATCGCGTGAAGGATTTGGCGTGCACGCGACGAGTGTATCTTTTCGAAAAGTACTTAGTAGAAGCAATTAGTTTCATCGTTTGGGAAGATGAGTCTGCATGAGTTTGCACTTTCCCCAAGTGGTTATTAGAACGCCAGTCGTTGCGCCGAATCTTTCTCGTTGCTAGTAATAAGTTTACAAATATAAGTGATTTCACACAATTTTTCTCGTGATTCTCAATTCTTATTAGAATGTTGTCTTCCTTCTTTGCTACACGAGAGATAAATAATCTAGTAAATTTAATAAAGAAATCATACATCGTTGTCAGAAACGATAGAGTTTCGAAGTTGATCTTTAAAGTTTCATGAATTTTCGATCGTTGAAAATATCGCATGTCATTCGCGACGAAACTCCTCGTCGCGGAAACCGGAGGATCACCACTGTGTGTTCACGGCTTCACGATCGCGAGCGTGGCCACAATGATGCTAACGGTGATCTGGAACTTTCAGGTACCCAGCAACTTCAGGTACGTTGTGGAGCAAACGTTGAAAGAGTTCTTCAAAGCGATTCAGGGCGGCAAGGACTCCGAGCAGAGCTGGAAGAAGTCCATCTACAAGGTGATCTCGAGGTTGGACGACCCGGTGCCAGAGTACTTCAAGAGCCCGAACTTCCTGGAGCAGCTCGAATGAATCAGGAGGTCGCGTGGCTCTTGCTCTTCGTGGTGCGCGGGCTCGCCTGCGCTAGTCGGCTCCCGATAATCAGGAACGACCAACGAGAAAGGATCGCATCCGCCAGGAGGTACACGTCCTTCGCGTAGTGCGCGTTCAGGTACCCTTAAATAACATATCGCAAAAACGAACGTGAGAGAAGGAGGGTTAGGAAGGGAGAGGAGACACGGACTAAGCCAAGGAACAGAGGCACCGTCGACGTTCGTGCGCCACGGCGTCGTTAAGGTGCCAACGAAGGATCAGGCTGTGACTAAATCACGAATCAAACGAGAGCGAGACATAGAAAGAGAAAGAGAGAGAGGGAGAGAGAGAGAGAGAGAAAGAGATAGTGGAGGAGATACACAGTAACACACACTGTAACACCGCGTGAATCGACGGCTGACGAAACCCGAAAGCCGTGAGGTGTCGAACGCCCATCGACGTTCCTCTTGTTTCAACCGAACGAGCGAGTGAGAAGGTGATCTTGGAACGAGACGAAGAAACACGACGAATGCGTGGTCAACGAACGGCGAGGATAGATAGCTTCTAATGTCGATTTTGTCCGATTTGTTTGTTACTTAGAGTAATCAATTCGTTATCGCCTAATTTTACATCACACGATAAGAATAGGGGTTTAAGGAACACGATGACACACTAGCTGGGGTCGCATTTGCATAGAGAAAGAGGGAGAGAGACAAAGACGTCCGGAACAGTTGCGAGAGCGCGTCCAAAGATTGACTAAGTCACACACGGCAGACACACACGGTGGTTCCTCTTCTGGCTCGAAGCCGAGACCCGGAAGCGGGACCTTCGTCATCGTCGTCGTCGTGAGGAACGACGCCGGACGGGCAGCGGTACTTCCCGTCCCGCGCCGTTCTCCGGTGAGAGAGAGAGAGAGAGAGAGAGAGAGAGAGAGAGAAGCGTTCGGAGATTAGAAGAAAGTGCTCGCGCGCTATTCCGGACACACAATCCTGCTCTAAGCTCTGTGAAAGTCGGCTTCGGTTTTGCATGGATCGATGCTCTCTGACGGAACTCGGAAGGACTTCTTATCGATGCATGAATACGCCGGATTCACGACGATTCATACTTCGATAAGGAGAAATTCTCTCACTGTGGAAAACCTATAGTACGTTCCTTTCTTTCAGAAATAGTTGAATTCCCCGAGACACCGGTGTATCGCGTCGGCGAAGGAAAGCGCGAGTGTCTCTCAACCTCGGCGCTTCTCGACCCGACGCGGTGAGAACATCACACACTCTTCCCCACCCCGACCCTCCTCCACATTGTATATATAATTTCTTTCCGGCATGTACAATCGATCGACTAGGTGCCAAATCGATGTGAAAATGCTTGGCTACCGAGTTGCATTGCGCGTATATTAGCCAGATGAGGAACTGTGCGCGCGTGAGAGAAAGAGAGAGAGAGAGAGAGAGAGAGAGAGAGAGAGAGAGAGAGAAAGGGTGAGAGAGCGTGATGCGCGCGTTGCTCATGTCGCTACCAAAGACTCGATCTTTTTTTGGCGAGAACTCTCCGTTCCTACCTGCCGAGGATGAGATTCCTCCGCCATCTTTTCGTTCACCCCCGTCATTTTTTCTTTTGCACGACGAGTAAGCAGTCCGTACTCGTTGCGCGCCCGGTGACGCTAGTACGTTCGTACTCGAGCGCGTACGTCGCGCATCAAGAGTATCGGTGCGCACGACTCATATATACATAACTGTTTTTTCTTATTCACGGTTGATTGTATAAAACGAGATTAGGCTAAATCGCGGTGACGAGATCAGCAGTAGCACGGGCGACAAAACTGTAGAATCGGATATAGCGTTCGCGAGGACGAGTCGTGTACACGGCGCCGGCGGCACTCTTCTACCGCTGCTAGCGGCCAAGAGGAGAGATAAAATGCTATATAATCGTGTGCGCCGATGCGTAATTATATAAATATTAGACTTTCAGATGCGAGAAAGAGAGAGAGAGAGAGAGAGAGAGAGAGAGAGAGAGAGAAAGAGACGGATGTTGGCGCGATTAAAGTAGCGTAAAGAGGACGCGTGACAGAGGGTTGCACAACCGCGCGTCCTTTTCTCCACTTGTATACATCCCGACCACCCACCTACAGACTTACGAACATGGACACACGCGCGACACGTATGTATCGTTAGTCACTTACACGTATTAACTTACACGTTCCATACGCACGACGTGCACGCGGGCGCGTGCACGGGCGTGCGTGAGATCGGAGACGGCGCCCCTGCATTTTCTTACTGTGACTTTTTCTCTCGCTCTAGAAATCTTTGTAGATATATATTACGAAACGATAGATGAAAGAATTAGAGATACATCTTTCGGTGGTAGCGAGTACACATAATCTAATTCACTTATTTTCTCCACTATTATTCTCGCTACTACGTGCACTATTATTATTATTATTATTATTATCATTATTATTATTATATTGCTATTATTATTGTATTATTATTATATTATTATTAATATATTATTATTATTATTATTATTATTATTATTATTATTATTATTATTAGACTCACTATTATCTGTATTAGTATGACAATTTTATAGCACATGGAACGCGATTATAATTATTAATATTATTATAGTCACATCGTTGAAATTGTCATATACGGAGAGACTTTAGTTAGTTTAAATTTAAGTCTGCCTTTTTATCCACACACATTTCCCCACACCACTCTCTCATGCTTCCAATTTCATCTCTGCCTTATTCGCAAGGTGATCTCCTGATCAATTATCTTATTGTTCCTTCGCCTCGTTATGCCAATCTATCTCCTTCCTCTATCCGTGCCTGGAGAATTACTTTCTCTTTATCTTTAATTATTTTGTATTTAGTTATTATAATAACGATTACTAAAATTATATCCATAATATATACCAGGCCGTACACGAACACACACATAGAATATCTTTTTGCAAGCGGTGAGTCTTAACCTAGTCACGAGTCACTATTTTTTAATTGATTAATGGCCGATTTATTGATTATTATTTTATTTATTAATTACGACAATAAAAGGAGAAAATGGATTTAATTTGCGCCTGATTTTGCGCGTAAACGTGGTCTTAATTTTGTTTTCACTCGACCGATCTGTGTACATTATCCTTTCCTAATTTCAGAAAGAGATTGAAAATCGTTACGTCGATGTAAATGGGAAAAAGGTGAAAAAAAGTAGAAAAAAAGCACGCGGTTTCGATTTGGCATACTCGGAGTATTCTTGACTGCCTTTGCGGCCTATCGTTTTTCCTGAGAAGGTGTGAATCGACTGTAACGTACCACCCGTGAATTTGCGCTTGGTGAGTTCAACGAGGATAGAAGCGAGTGAGATCTTTTTTCGTCCATATTAGAGCGCGACGCGCGCGCGCGCGCGCGACCCAATTGAAGAAGCGGGAACGAAATTTCGAAAATTTCAACTTTTATTGCGTAACACTAGACTTTGGCCTAAAACTAGTAGCAACTCCTTCGGCGCTGGCCTAAGATTTTGGTCTAAACGTTTATAGCGGCAAAGAGAAAGGAATATTACGCGGACGAGATGCGGCAATGGTGAGCGATTTTGAATAATTTAAAAGAAGATTAATGAGATACACTCGCTGACTCGCTCGTCGCAATTTTCGAGTGGACGGTGGACGTTCGTGTCAAGGCAGTATTGCTATCGGTGGAAAATTATTCGTCCGAAACTTTACGTCATCGTTTGATTCGGCTCGGCAGAATTAATCTGATTTACATATTTTATGAATTTATCATTTGTCTACGTGTCAATCGCGCGATATTTGTGGACCTACGTTTTTTTCTTATTATTTTCAACGATTATCAGTTTGCATGACGATTGAGTTTACCTTGTCTCAATTTGAAACAGAAGATAAGAAAGCTAAGTATGTCTTAATGTATGTCGAAAGACCGAGGATACTTGAAATCTAAACTCGAGGATAATTCAACTCTAAATGTGACTCAACAGGATGTTTTTAAGCAATATCCGATTGCTTAAGATTGTGTGTATGCATCACGTTTGGATTTTCAAAGCTTTACGCTCTTTCACGTCGATACGCGTCAACATCTTCTCAACTATCGTCAGTAATATCCATAGAAATAACCACTACATAATTCCTTTATGGTAACAATCTCTCGACGTTAGATACAATCGCTGCGTAGATTATATACTGCATCAATATTATTACGCCATGGATAACACACAACCCGACTTTTACGAACGACCGTTCTCATTCTTTCTCCGATCGTATCGGAGTTGCGAGAAGAAAATTGTTTCGCATTCGTCGAGGAAAATATGTCTGAGATCGTTTTGTCGTATTGAAACTGATTTTTCCACGTTGCATCCAACATTACCTCTGCACTTAATAAAGAAACATAGAGCAAATTCAATCAAGAACGCTGCAGTACTAAAAATCGACGTTTTCTAAATTACATAAAGCTGAACATTCGTGCTACAACTGAACTCTACACTACCACGAAACGAGATTTTGTTTCTTCTCGCTTCTGGCAACTTAGTAACCAAGGAAATCGCAACAAACAACAGATACGAGACTATCTATCGCGATATACGAATTAGACCAACCGTTTGACCATTTCTATTCCGCGTTCTTCGCCACGGAAACACGACCACACGCTTCGGAGGAGTCGAACGAAAAGAATTCACAAAGACCAAGCCGGTATTGAGAATTCCCGGTCTCCTCTGTCATCAGTCGACGAGCTGAAATATCAGAGGAATTTCGTATGGTCGCTTGTTCGTTAGAATCGGGAATAAGGAACCGTTACGACGCATAAGTAGCTCTCGCGTGATCCTTCGAGGCCAGCTAATGGCTGGAAAAGAAAGAGGAAAAGGAGAAAAGTATAACGAGAACGGAAGAGTAAGTACAAGTCCGCTCTATATTCCTCCGTCGACCGAGAATCGAAGCTCCTAGCGCGAAGGACGGACCGTCTAGACCGTTTAGATAGATACCTCTCATCGCAGACACGCGCGCTCGAGCCGCGAGAAGACTCGGGACTAAGCGGAAAAAGTATCAGAAAACGAATGATAACGAACAGCCAGCCGAACCGGTGGCTGGTTCACCGCGATCGCCGAGATTCTCTCATCGACGGGAGAACCAAGTCGCGCTCTTTATCTCCCGATCGATGTTACTGATCCCCGATCTATTGGCGCGACATAGGATCGCGGAACCGGCGACGAACAGCGTGAGAGCGTAGAGAAGGGGACGAATTCTCAACGATTTTACGGATGCGCGATACAGTGAGAGAATGAAACGAAACGACAGACGGCGAGATCGACGAAACGTAAGGTGTAAAAACGAACGTGGCAAAAGGAATGCCAGCGGCAATGAGACACGCAGTTCCGAAGGACGAGAGGCGACAAATTAGGATGTCGTCGACTATTTCACCTGCGAAATAACGAAGTAACTAGGATAGGAAGTAAAAAATCGACTCGCCGTTTAAAGATACGTTTACGTAGAGGGGCCGACGCACGGAGAAACGAGTACACGGGACGGAACGAAAATTTTAAACGAGAACGAATACGAGAGAATACGGAAGAGAGAAAATAATAAACATACGTACATACCTAAACGCGTAAATTTTAAGGACACGTAAACAGAAGTAAGTAATAGTATTTAACGTTAACACTTGCAAGCTATTAATTATTATATAAACGATTAACTAAAGATAAAAAAACGAGCGGAGAAGGTCGTATCACGCTGCAAAGAGGAAGAGGATACCTACTTTAAAAAAAAAAAACACACACTAATAAACTAATTATTATTATATGATTATATTATTATTATTACGATCATTATAATATCGAGTTTGAGATTAAGCCGTGATAAACAAGAAAAATCAGTGAGAATGAGAGAGAGCGAAAGTGATACCGGAGAGAAAGCGAAGGAGACAGTGTGGGAGTTCAAAAAGCGAATTCATTGAGAATAATAATTCCTCAAACTATTAGGAGCGTAATTAGGGTATATTTATTATGGTGGATGCGCGATTAACGATAGCGGCGCGGTAGTATACAGAAAAAAAAGAAAAGGGGGAAGATAAAGGGGGGACAGGAAATACACATTATCTCCCCCATGACGTTTTAGCGAGGCGGAAATCGCGTCTTTCGAATTTTCGCGCGCGCGATAGGAACGAAGTGGAGGAGCGAACCCGGGAGAACGATCGAATGAGAGAATGTGAGAGAGAAAATGAGAAAAAATGAGAGAGACAGAAAGCGAATGAGAG